TTGTTAGACCATATTATTTTGTCACGGAGTGAGTAACAGGCACACATAGTACAAGCAATTCCTTTATTTTATAGAAAAACTTAAAAAAATAGCTAATACTTGTACTGTAAAAAGCAATTTATTTTGACGTAGAACACGTCTTACGTTTCGATATAGAGGAAATGCTCAAATGTTGTAGTTGTAATTCTTAGAGCTTCACGAAAACGCTTATTGCACGAGAACTATTGAAGCGATTGCAAAGAAAAGCATGGCGTTTCCAAACCTATCATTCATTTTTGTAAGTAACCAATTCGGTTTCTGTCGCAGAAATAACAAGATCTTTGGAGCAATGGAAATATTATCGCGTACAAATTTTATATAAATAGAGCATTATAAGGCAAAAAATTGTTGTTAGTACCAAAATGCCCGAAAACCGCTCAAATTATTTTGTTTTTGTTTTCTCTAGTAAAAAATTTAAGTTTTTTCCTTTCTTTGGTATACGGGAGGTATATGCTGATATCTTCTAACTATGTTTATTTTATTCAAATACATATATGGGCATACATCATTATCCATACAAAATCACTTCGTCATCATTTTGCAAACACGAGCTTGCGCTGGAAGTGAGAGAGAGCTTTTGAGTAACAGATGGCGCAATATTTATAATCTAATCGACGTAATACTTTCTTTGGTGATTGGTAATAGTTGCACAATTTTTAAGTCAGGTATCGCTTATGTACAGGTATGTTGAATGCATCTAGTTAAAAATAATGCCGCCGATGCGCATTTTGGGGTAGGACGAAAGAGGTTGTGGTTTGAAAATATTTTGCAGAGGGTTGCCACCTTGTTACAAAGTTAAAAACAATATAAGCAATAGGATAAATAAAATTCTTCAATATGAATATAAGTCAAAATGGCTTCGAAGAAACTTTATTTCCAAGCGGCATGTAGGAGGGGATGCCACCTGATTTTACCATTAAATTCAATTTTAATTAAGAGTATTAGATAATTCAAATATGTATCACAATATGTGTTAGACGAAAAAGGTTTAACGAAGTTTTGGTTTAAAAATTATTTGAACAGAATTGCCATCTGTTTGATAAGTCGAATTTAATTCAATTATACAAAATATGGGCGTCAAACAATGGAGTATTATGAAATATTTAGTTTGAGCATTTATAACATTAAGGAGGGTTTCCATCTGTGTGAAAAATTGTTAAACTCAAATTATTTAATAAGTCAAATGAATTACTTAAGTATGGGTATAAATCGACATGGGTTAAAAATGTTTTTTTTTTTAATTTTTTTTAATAGGGTTGTCATATGTTTTAGAAATTAGATTCAACTTGAATTAAGGGAATTAGGTACACTATTTAAGTATATGTCGCAATATGTGTGTCACTCGAAAAAGCTTAACCAAGGTTTGGTTTTAAAACATTTTGAATAGGGTTACCACCTGTTTTTAAATTAGAATTTAATTAAAGTATGCACTGAGAAAAAGAACGCGTTGTAAGAATAAAAAATGTTTATTTGATTACCGTTTAAAAATGATCGTATTTAAATCAAGTGAAAATTGAATATTTCCATTATTCATACACTACGTATAATGGAAATATACGTTTTGCACGTCTCGGATGCTTTTTAATATGTAATTAAGAAAGTATATGTATACAAAGCATACACAGCGGTGACAACATATACACACATACATGGTAAATATGACATAATGCACTAATCGCGCGCTGGGATGTTGATTCAAACTCCACATTTGAAAACACATTTACATGTGTGGCTGTAGCTGAGTGGGCAAAGACGCTTGCTACAATTGATTGCGCCCAAGAGGGTCCGGGTTCAATTACCATCAGACGGAACATAAAATTACATTTTTTTCTTCTGAATTACGAAAAAGCATCTGTGCACTTCACAACCACGTATTTTATAACGTACATACTCAAATTTAAAACGAGTTGGGTTGGTGCTCTTTCATATGCGTATTTTTTTAAATCTAGCACGGTTTTTTAATTCTAAAATTTTTTTCCCTCAGTGTGCATAAGTTAAATGAAATATGACTGGAAACGAACGTGGTAAGATATCCTTAGTTTGAATATTTAGAATGTCAAAGATTGTTGCCACCTGTTTAAAAAGGTAAACTAAAATTATTTAATAAGTTAAAGCAATTATTAAATTTATGGGTATCAAAAAAAAGGGTTTAAAAAGGCTTTATTTCTGAACTGTATTTAGCACCGTTGTCACGTATTTAAAAAATCAAATTTAACTTAATTCATCGGGCGAATGAAATATGTAGGTATCACAATGTCAGTTTAGTTTATTTCCTAACTATATTTAGGAGGGTTGCCAGGTGTTTCAGAAGTCTTAGCTAACTTATGCACAAATCCAAGACGAAGATAATGGGAAGACGAACACGAACACTAAGAAGAATATTAATACCTAGGGGACCTAGGCTAATATAAAAAGTAATATAATTTAACTTGAATGTGGTCTTAACCAATATCTCGTATTATACGTTAAAGTTTAGCAGCTGCGGCTCCGTCACAGACTTCAAGTCAAGACGAAGGCGCTGGACTGATGCTTTTTTTACGCGGTAGACTTTTGGATGGAATCGCCCATATACATATGTACATATCGAGTGCATATATTCAATATCCTCTATATGCAATTTTCACAAAAACTATCTTGTGATGTTATAACGTATCTGGACATACATGTCACCACTGACGTTAATTCTGACATTGGAATTTAATTGTAAATTATTCTGTCAAGCGTTAATATCACCAATGACAGTTAAGTCTTATATCATTTTTGTGAAAAGTGCAGATAAAGGGTATTGAATATAAGCCCTCGGTATATAATAAAAAATTTGTAAGAATACAACACATCTTCATCAAAATTTAAAACTTTTTTGAACGCAGTTTTATAGCAGTTTGAGCTTGATTTTTGATAATTTTTTTTTTTTACTGCGGGGTCCCGCATTTTCTTCCATTCAACGCATTAGCGAAATATATTTTTATATGGAAGAAATTGCACAACACCCTACCAAAATCGACGGCCGCTGTGACTGCGTGGTTAGAGGTCTGCGCAACCACTCCGTAGGACAAAATCTAAATTAGAAAAAGTTTTTTCTAAGAGCGGTCGCCCCTCGGCAGCAAAGGCAAACCTTCATGATAAAGCTTCTCATAAAATCCATGTATGAGCGCCAAATTCTGAATAAAAAATGTGCAATTCTGATGAAACTATTTTTTTTTTAATTTTTGTACAAAGTTTCAAACTTGGATTTACTTAGTTTTTGTTATAAATTTAACAATATTTTCATAAAAAATTAATTAATAATAATACACAGTCGAAGACAGCGATAACCGTAGGCAGCTCTATAAAATATTTTTCGTTTATCCGCACTAATTACAATCGCTTTAACTACTAAGTACATAGCTACAATATCTTAATATCTTGATCCCTATCTAAACGACTACTAACTATGAAATAAACAAAAGCAAAACACTGAGCTACTGTTTACCAGACAAAAAATTTCATGAATTACGCCGAAATTCAAGGAATTTATTCGAGATAAATGTACCATAGTAAGAAGAGAAACAGCTTTGGTACAACAACATAAGAACGTCAGCAAGGAAAACAGCGTTATAAATATATTACACGTTTTATTGCGCTTCATTCTGAACTGAGAGAGATGAATATAAAGACAAACTCCTGGCAGAAGAAAAAATTTCATTTACTTTCGAAAATATATAATGCATGTATGTATATTCGAAATTAAGTGTATAGTATTCTCACATAGATACATATGTACACATCTACATATCCATACGCCAGAAAATGTCATATTAACACTAAAAATAATCAAAACAACAGGTTTCACGTTAAATTGATATGAAAACTGTTAAATTAATATTATCATGTATGATTACGGTGACCATCCGTCCTGTATTATACGGGACAGTCCTCTTTTTTGACCAGTTGTCCTGGCAATTAATTTCTTTTATACGGTACGCCAAATGTTCTGTATTTCTTTTAATGTCCTGTATTTGCCCCGTATTCGGGGTTCAGTATTTCGACGCCTTAAAAGCTGATTAAAATGGCATGCCTATGAACCAGTTTTGAATGATGTTGGGATATGATCGTAACTTTCTCCATAACCAGTTATTATTTTCTAATCTGAATGCCTGTGCTTGGAATAGATGAACAGATACAACGACCAAAAGATAAATTAGGATTCTATATTTTAGCAAGGTTCGGCCATTTTTCTTTTGTCTATTTAATGTTTATGATATTTTTAAAGTGAAGCTCTTTTCCTAACAAAAATCATATGAATCCAAATTTCCGACTTTCTGCAAAAACTATGAGAACTAATTCTACAAATTTCCACCAAAATTTCAAACTTTTTAATTAGAACCTTTAGAAAAAAATTTGGTTGCAGTTTTGTAGCTCATTAAAATTGAAATTGAAATTTAAAGAAACTTTTGTAAAAAATTTTACCGAGTAAAAATCTCGAGAAAAATATCCTACAAATTTGTGATGTTACTTAGGGAGGCTGTTTCAAGGCTAATACATACATCTAAGATCATTTAAGAGGGTGTTAAGATTTGTTAGCTTTTATGGAAAAAATTAGCAAAAATATTTTTTGTCCCGTATTCGGCTCGCATAAATATGGTCACCGTATGTATGACATTGTCATATCAATTTCCTATTAGCCCGATCACTTTTTCAACGAAACAATTCCAGGAAGAAGCTTTTTGACGCAATTAGGTGTCTCCAGTTTAGGTCAACACAAAATGCAAATTTTTCATACATAGATACATATGTACATATGTATGTACAGATACATACGCCAAAAAATGTCATATTAACATTGAAAATAATCAAAACAACAGGTTTAACGTTAAATTGATATGAAAACTGTTAAATTGATATTGTCATGTATGACATTGTCATATCAATTTCCTATGTTAAAATTCCACGTTGATACTCTTGTACGTGCGTGCAAATAATTCTCACTTAAAAACGCTGGCTCCATTAAAATTCGCATACATTTTTTTTTTACACGATTTAAAGTACGGACAGTGAGGGTTTTTGATAAGAATAATTCAGGAGGTTAAGTTTACATTGAAATAAAAGTGAAAATGAGCGATAACTGCTTAATATTTGGCGAAAATGCGTCGCTGGCTGAGGATGACGCAGGGCAGCATATCTTTCTGGAAGCAACGCCTGCATTAATCGGTCAAAGTGGAGGAATTCTAACGCAAGTTACTCAGTGTGAGTCATTATGTGGAAATTTACAACAGGTATGAACAGATTTTTTTATATAATAGGCGTATTTGACATACATACATACATATGTACATAAGTAAATGGAAATGGTTGCTTTTACACCTCAAACGAATATATGCATGTATGTATATGTATGTAGGTACTATGTATAATTGTAAAAAACAAACACGGCTAATATATATCTACATATGTATGCGCAAATGCACATAGTGCCGTTAAAATAAAAGAATCTCAAAACTTTAACTAATTTGGGCATTTTTTCTTTTGTTTATTTGATGGTTATTCATTTTGCAAAAAAGTCTAGCTCATTATGTATTAAACACCATACATATCGAGCCCTAACCGCCAAAATAACGTAAGCGAAATTTTTTACAAAATTTTCTTTTTGATGCAGAAATGTATCTAGATGCTCTAGGAATATTTCTGCATCAAAAAGAAAATTTTGAAAAAATGTCGCTTACGTTATTTTAGCGGTTATGGCTCGATATATGTAAATCCACATATCACACTTTGTACAAAAGGTATGAGAATTCAAAAAATTTTCACAAACGTTCCCAGTTTGGGTAGCCCATTAATTTTTAGTATAAAAAAGTAAAAGTTTTCAGTTGTTAAAAAAGCACGTTCATTTTTTTTTAGCTGACGGTGTTAAACATTTGGTTCCATACAAAGTATTTATGTACTAAAGTTCAAAATTTTTTTTTATGTGGAGGAAAATGCATTATACCGCCAGCAAAAGAACTACAAAAAACACAGACCTGCGATGTTTTCTCCCTTAAAAAACTAATAAGCAATTCGGGTAGGTGGCTTCGAAAAAATTAGCAAAAAAACTGCCGATAAAAGTACTTTTTAATTTTTCTTAGTGTTACCGCGTTCTGCGTTAAGTTTACGGTTCCAAAAGTCTTTCTGATTTTTTAGTCCTTAGGGGTATTTTCAACTAAAACTGTTGTTTTTAAAGTAAAAATTATATTTTAAATAAACTTATTGTTGTTTTTCTTATAAAAATTGTTAGAACTTATTTATTTTTCTTAGTTAAGCGCGTATTACTGCGTTAAATTGGTATTCTGATTCACTTTGACTTCCTAGGTATATTTTTAAGTTATGCTGCTTGTTTTCTCAGTAAAAATTAAATTTTAGGTTGACCGATGTTTGGCTTTTCATGAAAATTGTTAAAAATTTTAAAATATTCTTGTCAAAAAAAAAAAACAAAATATCGATCTGTTAGAAAGAACAAGGCTGCATTATAATTGGATATGCCTAGATAAAATAGTCAAAACTAGTCAAAATGTTGAGATGATACTTTTTACTGGCACTAGATGTAGGGACACGATATCGAACCGAAAGTATCGATATAGTACTCAATTGAAATATCGCTGTAAGAATATCGTGATAAAAATACTCGTTATTCCAAATATCGATACCAAAATCGAAAATTAAATCTGAATATTGTTTGACCAATTTAATAACTGTTTGCTTATGTAGAGGTAAGTGTGTTAATTGACATCACCGAAGGCGCGGTGCCAACCTAAGATAGAACACATTTGCACTCTTTAAAGCTGTTTATGCCTCGGGGCTAAATTCGAACATAGTAAGTTAATGTTTAACATTCTGTTAACGTTGCGATACCACCTGTTAATCGCCCCAGCGCCGAACGGTTAACTCTACTAAGGTCCCCTTTAGCTTAATAAACAGTTGGATAGGTTAACGTTAAAAAATAGACAAATAGACTACTCACTTCTTTTGCGAGACGGAAGGGGACATGTTCCAGCCACCACACTCCATCAATTCTTCGAAAGTGATCTGTAAACCATACATTTATAAATACATAAATACATTTTGCAAAACCGCCCATCGCCCGATTGCAAAACCACCTACCTTACGGCACTCAAATTTTACAGGATAGCGAAAAGCGATTTATTCTGTGAAGGCATTGCCTTGATAGGCGGCATTTTCTCTAGCTATTATTTTACAAATCTGTACATTGAATTTAACGATTTGTATGCTTAAATTTCGATGCCTGGAGTTCAGGGTTACAAAATCTCATTTTTGCCACAACGGCGATTTAGGCGATTTTGCAACTGGTCGATGGGCGGTTTTGCAAAACCATCGACGATATCTCTATACACACATATTAGAAGCGTTGAAGTCAAAATAAAAAAAACATATTCGACATGCAATTCATGTTTTATTTGCGTTGAAAATTAGTTTAATAACAATTAAAGAAAAACAATATAAGTTTTAGTAACGTCACGTCATGTAACGTCACGTCAGATACTTCGGCTGATAAAAAAGGAGGAAAGAGTTTTACATTTTGGAAAATTAACTTTCAATATTTTGAAAAATGTATACAAATAGTCTTTCCCAATTCCCAGAACTTTTCAATTTTGACGTTTTCAATTTAATTTTTAACATTTCGTCACGCCACGCCAGACTGGAAATGCACATACATATGTACTTTCCCTTAAGTACATTGAAAATAATTTAATAAAATACTATAATTTTTAATATAATGTTCAAAATTTTATTTTAATTAAATTAACTTTGTAATGTGAATTTATGATTCGATACGATACCAGGGTTCTGGTACTCGATTCAAAACAATATCGTTTCAAAACTATCGAGTAAAAAGTATCGGTATCGAATGGAAAAATATTGATATGGTATCGTATCGTATCGAAATTCGTGTCCCTAACCAGATGTACTTAAAGCTGTATCGATATTTACTCATCACAATATTATAACGTTGTTTACCTAAATAGATTGTCCAAAATAAATCAGGAGGAGTTGAAGATGACCAATTAAAAGAACTGTTGAGAGAGATGAGCATGGAAAGCGCTTTTGATGCCCTTTATGGTAATTTTTTATTTTATAATGCAAACGTTTCATAACGCGTAATGTTTTTACTGACCAATGAAAAGCTTGTGGATTCACATATGACCGCTTAAAATACATAAACTCTGACGACTTGGCGTTGATATTTCCAGGGCAAGAAAATATCGGTTATAGAGCAGAACTTGGAGAAAAACTCCGTCTGTGGAAGCACCAGAACGTAATATAAATAAATACTTTCTTATGAAGTTGTAACATATTTTTTAACGATTTATTTTTCAGTTTCCATATCAATGTCTATCTTCTCTGACTATGAACTCAACTGTTCAAAATTGGATTGAAAACCAACCTCTTAACTCATCAGCTAGCAGTTCCACTTCGGCTAGCAATTCAACTTTTTACTGAACTCTCAATAGTGGCTAAACAGTTTAAAGATGCTCATGGTTTGGCACCTTCAATGTAATATTTTCAGCTTCGAACTATTTTCAATCTTTCTTAGGGCCAAATTCACAGTGCACAGTTAACTCAGAATTGGCAGTTAACTACAGGGCTCGAATCGTCACATACGATATCGTATTACTCGTCACGTAAAAGCCCCGTTTTCGGATTATGACATACGTGAGCGTACTCTTTATCCCATTCAGCTTCTACGACTGACGGTATCACGTAATTTTATTTCGTATGGTTTTCGATCCGTGAACGGATGTTACGATTCGAGCCCTGATTTTCAGTACTGTTAAAGGCATACCCAAAACGATTTGAAACATTTCACCGAAAGTGAACTATACCACCACAACCTAAAATAATTCAGCTTGATGTACGTTTTATAATTTTCCTGAGTTTTGCACAAAGTTTAGAGATTTAATTTTTATGTTTTTGGTGTAAAATGAACTATATTTTTATAAAAAATTATCGAAAATAAATTAGAATAAAAAAGCTTTGCATATATTGCGAAAAATTCACTGTGCCAATACTTTTGTTCGTATGTATTTGAATTAAGCCCCAGTGGGAAAATGTTTGGGATGCATAAAGAAATATATAACCCCTATAACCTATGCACGAAAAGAATTTCTCTTCAGCGTTATCATACGAAAGTAATTTATGGAAATTATAAACGAAAAAATAACGTCCGTGACTCAGGGTTTGGACCCCTGATCAACAAGAAGGTACTCGAACTCATATCCATTCGGCTATAGAGGATGATAAAGTGTCATAAAAAAATATATGGGCGATTCCAGCGAAAAGTCTGCCGCAAAAAAAATAAAAGTCCTATATCTAACTCATTTATAAGCCGATTAAGCTGATTTTTATAATATATATTGGTTATATAAGCAGAAACATTTATCATAGTTGTTAATATTTCCTTGGTAGAGAAGGGTAAAGCGTGCCCATTTCCCCACTAGGAGTGTACAGCGTGGCGACGAATAACTGTTACCCAGATATTTTTGAGAAATAAAAGAGTCCTTTATAGATTTTGCGAAAGAAGTATTTTATTGTTATTTTTCCACAGATTTTACTTTAGTTGCATTA